AGATATTGTTAGGGAAACTGACCCTTGCAGGGGTGGGGAATGTCCGGCCCAATACCAGGTAACATCACACACCTCACCAAATTAGCCTGACCAAATGTAGCAGGCTAATTTGTAAGTTGATCATTTTATATGGCCTGAGAATGATCATATAAATATCTAGATGGCCCTTGGCAGAAAAAAGTTTCCTCACCCCTGCAATGGTTAGTTTATTTAATCAAGAGGCTTTCTCTGAATGAGGAGGGTGCCAAGTAAATGAGTCATCAGACTAAGCAGAGCAGAATAACTGGACACCTCCTGTGTTCAGCTTTCTGCCTGTGATGTTTTATAATTCAAGAACTTGATTTTTACCTGCAGGCATCTTCTCCTAATGTACCTTGGCTTAAAATAGGTAACCGGAGAGTGAGTGGTTTAAGGGCTGTAAGACATGATCTGGGCCTTAGTTCTATAGTTTGCTACCTAAGTATTTTTAAATGTCATGACACACACACACAATACATGTATATGTGTGTAGGGTATGTATGTATATGTGCTTTTAATATATATATATATATATAATATATATATATACCCTTTTTAAAAATCATGGCTATTGAATTCTTACAAATAATTTCAGTTGGTCCACTCCTATGGTTATAAGAAGTTATTTTCATAGATCTCACCATTAAAAAATATCTAAAAAATGACTTATTGCTTATTAACAATTATTACACATTTAACGGCTTAAAGCAACACCTATTTATTAGTTTGCAGTTCTGTAGGTCACACATGGCATGGCTGGGTTTTCTGCTTAGGGGATCACGTGGCAGAAATCAAGGTGCTGGCTGGGCTGAGTTCTTGTCTGGAGGCTCTGGAGGAAAATCTGGTTCCAAGGTCATCCAGGTCGTAGACAGAATCCAGTTCCTTACAGTTGTAGGACTGACGTCTCTGTTTTCTTGCTGTCAGCAGCTGGAGGTTGCTCTCAGGTCCTTTCCACAGAGTCCCTTCTATCTTCAAGCCAGAGCGTTCACTGAATCCTCTTGTGTTTCAGATCTTCCCAATTGACTCTTCTGGGACCCTCCAGAGAAAGCACTCTGCTTTTAAAGGGCTCATGGGTGTATGTTAGGCCCAAGCAGATAATCGCCATATCTTAGGTCAACTAGCCATGTCAACATAACATAATCATGGGGCCATCTTAGAAGGCTGCCTGCCACTCACCTTATGTAGACATTCAGTGTTATATAGATTTCGTTTTCAGGTTGAATGACATGACAGAGCGTTTGGAACACTAAATGTGAACCGCCAAAGTGAATTATATTTAGGTTAAATTACTTTTATTGTGAATGTGATGCAGAAGATGTGTGGTACTGAGAAATACATTTACTTTTTAAATGTTTATAAATATATCAGATAAAAGTACATTTAAAAGACGTATTTTAAAGAGCTCTTATAAAAGCCCAGCATACGGCCTAGAACTCTTAGATCCCACGGGTGACAATGGGTAGCATAGTCTTCCTCAGTGTATGCCATTAATCATGGTCTTGGTCATACACTGATGATACAAACTCAGAGACTTTAGAGCTAAAGGAGATCAGAGATCATCTGTCACCCTCCCCTCTCCCCTGCCTTTTTTATAAATGAGGAACCAGAGACTCAGAGAAGGGATATGACTCAGGGAAGGCCATAGAGCCAGCGAGTTCATGGTAGAAATTGGCCTAGAATACATTTTGACTGATTCCCTATCTGGTAGTAATAGTAACAAGAGTGCCGTTAATTAAAGATTTTCCATGTATCAGGAAAATCTATTATTTTCCTTAATCTTCACAAAACTATGAGGTAGACATTATTATTATCATTGCCATTTCAGTTTGAGAAAACTGAGTCATGGGAGGGTCACTGAATCGGCGTCACCCAGCTTGTACATGGTAGAGTGGGAATCAAAGAGACAGTGGGACACCAGGACCTAACCTTCTGCTCTTCCGCCACCAGCGCCTCTTGCAGGGCCCTTCGCCTGCAGCACAGAGTTAGCTGAGTGCGTCTCCATGGACAGCTGCACGAGCTATCCATTGGTTATAGTCTGACAACAAATCTGTGAATAGAGAACCTGAAGCCCAGGAAGTGGGCACCAACTCTGGTTTCTATGTGGCTTCAAGGCATTGTGTAACCTCTGGGGACGCAGATGCTCTGTCTAAGATGGGATTGTCAGAGCTGTCCTGTACGGAAACAGCAGTCTAAACAGAAGCATTGCCTGCTCCCTGTGTTGTTCTCTGACACATGGCGGCTGGTTCTCATCACCCTGTGACAGCAGCTTTTCTCGTCACATTTGCTGTGAGAGAGTCAGACTTTAAGTGTAAAAAGTAAGATCTTTGGCATTGCAAAGGCTTTGTCTCGAGACCTTCAGGAATCTCCTCACTTTTGAAAGTCATGTTTCCTGTACATGTCCTCGTTCCACATTTTCAGACTTAACAGGATTGTATATCGCACCTGATGGTGATTGTTAACAGGGATGCGTCACAGGACATCAGCAGTAAAGCTCATGGGCAGGACCCAGCCCTCGGCCGGCTCCTCACACCAGCCTGGTCCCTTCCGTGATTCCAATTCACACCTGGACAAAATGCCATTACTTTTTGATGTGTCCATTGGGGATCACTCTCAAATAAAATAATAAATATTAAATGTATGAATGCCAAGTCTACTCTTCATCCCCATCCTTTTTTTAAACATTTTATCTTCTTTGTTTTATGTATTTTTTGCTTTACCATTTGAAATAAATTGCAGATAATATAACATTTCAGGTGTAAATACTTTAGTATGTATCTTGTAATAATAAGGGCATTTTTAAATAATACATGCTATTATCTGCCTAGGAAAATTAACATTTTTCTTAGCTCATTTAATATCCAATCTATATTCAAATTTTCCCTACTTGTCCTAATATTGTTTTTAGAGTGTTTTGCTTTTCTTGTTTCTTGTTTTTCCCCCCCAAAATTAAACCAAGCACTCATAGCATTTAATAGTTACATCTCTGTGATATTTTAAAATCTGGAATAATTCATCCACCTTGTTAATCTGTTTGCTTTCATGATATTAACTATTTTAAGAGACTAGGCCTATTTTCTTGAACAAAATTCCATGTTCTGGGGTTGCCTGTGTGTGTGTGTGTGTGTGTGTGTGTGTGTGTGTGTGATTTATCTTGTTACTCTGTCTTCGGTATTTTTGAAAACTAGAAGTTGATTCCAAAGACCTCAAGCCTGTTTTCGTTCGGACAACTGGACAGGTGACACTGTGTAGCTGGTGTCAGGAAGCAGTATGATTGCCCCACTGCTGGTGCTGCTGTCCGCCCGCTGGACTGAGGTGGTGACAGCCGGGTCTGCCGGGGTTAACGGACGTTTTCCTTTCATAACTAGAGTGACTGTTCGGCTCCCATGAATATCAAATGATGTTAGCATCCATCGATGTGCCTTATTTGAGTCATTTGTTCCATTGAAGGTTACAAATTGGTAATTTTAAAATTCATTTCTTCCTTTTACATTTCTTAACTAATTCCTCTGTAAAGAACAACTTTCTCGCATCAACGGAGGGTGCTTTATATCGTCTTAAGTTCATATCAGTACAACATGTTTACTATCAATTATCTAAAATATCAGCCTTAGAATACGGAACTGAGTTGGAAATGAGTCATAATGTTTATTTGAGATAAACTTTTTAAAGCATTTTGATGTACATTAAAGTTGAAAGTGGATAAGAGGTGAAATTTAAAGCAGTGTTTCAAATGGCGAACAAATACCATAAGAGGCTTAGTGAAAGGGATTTCAAGTCACTGGCAACATCAGCAAATATTTATTGATCTAAAATGAAATTATTAATACCAGACACTAAAAGAGCTGTTGAATCCCCAAAATGCTAATGGTATGCATGGTAATGTCGATAAATATTTAGAGCAGACAAGAAGTCAATTATCACAGGTAATTTGGATGATCACCCTGTTGTTCCATTAAGTAGTCTCTCAGCTCCAGTCTCAGCATGCCAGGTTTACAGTGGGGCTGCTTCTCGTCTGGTCCGCCCCACCATTACTCCCCCACATGTTTTGATCATCTGCACCATTCTCCACTGCACTGCACGCCGTCTTTCTGTCCTCACACCTCTGCCCATGTTCTTTCCCTTGGCAAAGGCACTCACTGTCTTCCTGAATCTTGGGTCCCAATCAGCCCATTTTACAAGCTCAGTTGAAATTCGACTCTCCCTATGCAGCCGCTCCTTCCTCCCTGACCTCTCAGGTAGCACTTGTCACCTCTGTCACACCTGTGGGACTGGACTCAGTTTCCTATTTGGTCTTCTAATGGGCTTCTATAAGTAAACCTCATTTCCAAACTGATCCAAACTGCTGAAGATCCTTGCGGACATAACTATCCATGACCCAAAATTACAAAGCTCTTTTTACATGACATTGCTGGGTTTCTGTGTTCCTTTGGGAATCTTTCTGAAAGTTACCACCACGTGAGATGCTGACATCAAACAGGAATGTCTCCTTTGTACAGCTTCCTTTGCCTTCTAACAACAACCACCCTATAAAAACAGGTTTTTGTGCGAAAGTTAAGGCTAGAACTGAGTATGACTCACCACTGTTCTTTGAACATAATGTGAAGGCCTAGTTGTTTTACTATGTCAAAAAGAAAAGAAAAAGACAGGTATGAATTAATCTGGCATTTAAATATGACAATAAAAACAAAGTTTGTTTTATTTTCCTTAGGTTGAACCTTTTTGTTCCTTTTGGTACCCATTTGAACACTGCTTTAAATGGAGATAAAACAGTGGTATGTTGTGCTTCCTGAAAATTTTTAGAAAATTTTCATCCCACTCAACAAGATATTGTTTGAAACACCTTTTCTCTCCGTCTCATTAATAAGAGCTCTTTGTATTTGCACAGTTCTTTTCCTCTGTGGACCGCAAAGTGTTGGCTGACATTTTTTGTCACCAGGTGGTGATGACAAAGCTGTCACCCCCTTTGTTTTCTGTCTGTACAGAAGCAGGAGGTAAAAAGCTCCGGAGCACTGTGCAGAGAAGCACAGAAACCGGCCTGGCTGTGGAAATGAGGAACTGGATGACTCGCCAGGCAAGCCGAGAGTCCACCGACGGCAGCATGAACAGCTACAGCTCGGAGGGAAAGTGAGTGAGCTGGCTGTGGTCCCCTCCACGCCTTGCAGGGGCCATCTTCCGAGTCTGGCGATAAATGATTTCCTTTCATGGCAAGGTGGTAAAAAGTGACTTTCATAATACATGCAAATAAAAATTTGCCCTAGCTTGAAATAATACACCTAAAAGCACAAAAAGAATAAGCACTCATGGCACATTGTGTGAACAGTGCTAATTTTAAAAATCTTTGCTGCAAGAGTTATTACTACAAAGTACAGAATATGGATGCATACGTAGTTCCATGCAGTCGCAGGCAGTTCAGACAAAGGTAGTAGCCAAAAGAAATGCCACTCAGAGAATTGGAAAGCCCTTCCTGTAGGTAGTTATAAGCAGCTTCCCCTAGAATCAGCTGTACCTGAGCTGCTGTGAAAGCAGTTACACAGATTGTGGAGCCTTGTCACCAACAAACTAACAGTGGTGAGCAACTGCAGATCCGTGGAAGGGTCCATACGTGACATTCACAAAGGAAAGTGGGGTTTACTGACTGCTCTGTCATCCCCATGGGAGCATCAGATATTTAGACAACGTGTGTGGCCAGTTCACAGACATGAGGCCTCAGGCGCCTCTGGCAGCGTATTCGTGATATGCCCTGAGGATCATTTGTCTAGCAGGTTATATAAACAGAAGAGCTGTATGTGGCTCCTCTGCATTTATAAAGAAGGTTATGTGGGATACTTATGGAAGCTTAAACAATGTGGATTACCTGTGTATTGGGGGATTAAGGTTGCAGGAAGAGATGGATTTGATGTTAATCAAGGATGCCTTAACAGAGACGGAGAATCAGGTAAAACGTAGATGTGCACTGAGCACTCCTCATTGCGGAGCCCCGTGATAGATACGTTAGGGGATCAGATGTTGGCTGGCCCCTGCGCCTCAGATGTTTATAGTCTTATTGGAGAAATGGGATGAAGGCTCACAAATCCACTCAACAAGTAGAACCTAGAGCTTGCAGTGTTCTGGGCACTGTGCGTGAGTTGTGGATGTAAGCCATACAGGGAGCCCGAGTCCGTGGGTGGTTAAGACCATGGCTTTAGAAGCATACAGGTTTAAGTTCTCATCTGTTTTGTTGGCACTATAGAAACCTGGGTGAGTTTCTAGGCTTCATTTTAATTAGTTGATTGATCTTAACAAGTATTCATTAAGTGCTTACAATACCCCAGGCACAGTTCTAGGTGCTCAAGATGTATCAATGAGCAAAATAGAAAAAAAGAAACAAACTCTGCCTTCACCAGACAAGATAGCCGTTAAAGAGGAAACATGAGTGAAATAGATAGTAGATTAGGTGGTATACGTTCTAAGGTGTGAAACAAAGAGAGATGATAGAGCAGTAGGGTTTATGTAGGGTAGATAGGGCAAAGGTCACATCCAGGTAAAGATCTGCAGGAAGTTGGTGAACACATGGACATCTGAGGAAGGAGCGTTCTGTGCTGAAGCAATGCTGAGGCCCCGGGCAGCACTGAGGAGTCAGGGCGGGGGCAGGGGGTAAGACTAGGAATTGAGATACGGCGAGCAGGGGTGGATAGTCTGTGGTTTTTACATGTCATTGTAAGGACTTTGGTTTTACTCTGAGGGGTGAGAAGTCAAGGGAGGACTTTGAGCAGAGGCCTGACGTCTGACACTGCTGTGGGGGGGAGAGCAGAGGTGGCGACAGGAGCTCCATCAGGGGCTGTTGCAGAAGAGAGAAGATGGTGGCTGGGACCAGCGTGGTAGCATTAGTGAGGTCAGATTCTATGTATTGTGATAGAGACAATAAGATTTGTGGATGTATTTGATGTGACTAATGAGAGAAGGAGAGGGTATTAGTTTGCTAGGGCTGCCATAACAAAATACCAGTGACTAGGTGACTCAAACAACAGAAATACATGCTCTCATCGCTCTGCAGACTGGAAGTCAGAGATGAAAGTGTCAGCAGGGTTGGCTTCTCCTAAGGCCTTTCTCTCCCTTTGCCTTGCAGATGGCCTCCTTCCCACTGAGTGCTCACCAGGTCTTCCCTCTGAGGGTGCATACCCCTGGTGTCTCTTCCTCTTCCTATAAGGACACCAGTCATATTAGATTAAGGCCCCACCCTTATGACCTCATTTGGCCTAATTACTTCTTCAAAAGCCCTGTCTCCAAGTAGTAATAATGGGGATTTAAGGCTTCAGTATATAAAATGCCATATATTGGGGGGAGGGGTGCTTGAGGTTGTTGGGGGACACAATTCAGTCTATAACAAAGATGAAAGACAACTCCAAAACTGAGGAATTAAAAGGATGAAGTTGCAGGTTAAGATGAGGGTCCTCTGAGAGGAACAGAGTTTGTGTTGTTTTCTTGTTTGTGGTTTGGGACAATTTATATTTCAGTTGCCTACTAGACATCCAAGCAGATATGTTGACAAAGCAGTTAGAATACAGGTCTGTGACCCAAGGGAGCATTCCAAGCTGAAGGAATATTACCATTCCAAGGTAATATCAGCATAGAAATGACAAGAGGTCAAAGGATCAAGCTCCCAATATTTAATGGCAGAACTAGCAAAGGAGACTGAGATCAGGGGGCCAAAAAGGAAAACCAGGACAGGAGAGAGTCTGGGAAACAGTGGAGAAAGAGTTTCAAGGAAGAAGCAGGGGTCAATTGTGTCAAATGATGCTAAGTTACATTAGTATCAATAATATAGAGTATTGGCAGTTCGACTTACCAATGTGGCTATTAAGTAACCTTGACCAGGGAAATCTAGTGGAGTGGAGAACAACAGAGCAAGGAGGAGAGCAAGGACAACTCACTGGAGTTTCAGGGGGCGTGAGAGGAGAGAAGCTGCAGACAGCACACAGAGCTCCTCCAGGGGTCTCGGGAGAGGGGTGGTGTCTGCAGAGGGAAGTGGGGTTAGGGAAGGGAATGTTTCTTAAAGTGGAAGAAATAACCTATGTTTGTGTGCTGGTGGGAGTGATCCAAAAAAAGTTTCTTCAGCTATAAAATGGGTTAGATAATAGAATCTCTCTCAGAATGCAGCCAAGATGATTAAATATGATAATGCCGGTTATGGAGTAAGTGTTCGGTGTGTACTGAGTGCTGCTGATAGAAATCGTAGTCCATGTGCTCCAGGTAAGGAAGAAAAGGACACATAAACAGAAGCCTGCAGTCCAGTGTGACAAGTGCTTCTGGTGACATATGTGGGCTGCTAGAGAAGGAACAAGGAGAACCATGGGATCCAGTAACGTAAGTGGCAAAATAGTAGTACCAACTGCTCCTGCCACAGGAAGGGCCTACAGGGAGACCTGAGCTGCCCGGATGGAAACAGGCTGAGGGTTTAATCTCGTATGTTATTTTGCTTTCAGCCTGATTTTCCCTGGGGTCCGCTTGGCCTCCGATAGCCAGTTCAGCGATTTTCTGGATGGTCTCGGCCCTGCCCAGCTAGTGGGGCGGCAGACTCTGGCTACACCTGCAATGGGTAAGGATTTCTGTCACGTGATTTTGTGGTTTTTCTTTCAGATTGTTGAAAAAGACATCCTTTACTTTCCTAGGATTTTTAACAGTATTATCAGCAGGAATGAGTATTTTATATTTTAGCAATTAAAAAATCTTCAGCTAATTTTTTTCATTTAACTTATATGCTTTTTAAAGTGAGATGTCATTGGTAAAATTTTAAATATATTTGAACATAGGGTAGCATTTTTCTTACCGCGTTTGCATATTAAGTTTTGTTTGTTTCTTCTCCACACCCTATTAGGTGACATTCAGGTAGGAATGATGGACAAAAAGGGACAGCTGGAGGTGGAAATCATTCGGGCCCGTGGCCTTGTTGTAAAACCAGGTTCCAAGACACTGCCAGGTAAAAACAGAAAACATTCTTCTGTTGTTGCTCATGATCTACATTTTGCAATTCAGAGATTTTGTTTTTTATTAGCTGCTAAAAAACTTTGTTTTTAGATAATCAGGGATACTAACATGAGTCAATGAAATGTAGTAGTTTGTGTATTTATCCTGAGTGAGCATCAGTGAGGGTGACGTCACTGGTGGGGATAATATAGCCTGTTAGATGTGTATATATGTAGTAGAAACCACTACAAAATGAAAACTGCCACGCTTAGGTCATTCCTTGTGTACAACATGTCCATAAGTAATTCTTTTTCTCATGAGCTGGTGTTTTTGTATTATTCTTCAGTTTACCTGGGGCTTCAAAATCCTCCATGGAAATCCTAATGGTTCTGGAATTAAAATAAAATAGGAACAGGCCCTAAAGTAGCATAAGCCTATGTATGTAGGACATTCTCATGACAAGACTTTTATTTCTTGTAGTGTATAAACAAAAAGAGGCATAATTAAATTTTTTTTAAATATGTTTTTATTGATTTTTTTTTTTTTTTTGGAGAGAGATAGAAACATTGATGAGAGAGAAACATTGTTGGCTGCCTCCTGCATGCCTACTACTGGGGATTGAACCCACAACCTGGGCATGTGCTCTGACCAGGAGTTGAACCTGGACCTCTCAGTCCATGAGACGATGCTCAGTCCACTGAGCCACACCGTCTGGGCCATCATTATACATTTTTATCATGATGTCGCATATTTCATACTGAAGGTGTGTACTGAGGTGCTGGGAGCACAGAAAGTGCCCCAGACTCCAGCTGCACTGTGCGGAGATGTGTCATCAAATCTGATGCACAGACCAGCTACTGAGGATTCTGAAATGTGGTTTCCCACCTCAGCACCTCCAGTGGCGGATTGTGAGTTTGAATCTCTTAACTTTGCTATCCTTGCGGAAATTCTAAGTTACAGTGTCCATGACCTGCTGTACAGCCTCACAGTGGTGATTAAGGCAGGTGTGCTTATAGAGGTCTCGGAGCTACACGACCCGCTCTGCTGCCAAGAATAAAGTAATTTCTACATGTATGAAGATGCTTTTATGAAGAAAGAGTCTGTCAGATAAATTTCAAGCTATGGAATTTATAATTAGTTGCCTCTTCCCAGATAATTTGGACATATGACACAAAATTTGTCCTGTACCCATACCACCATTAATAAGCAAACGTTTTGTGTTTATTAAACAAATTTACTATTTAAAAAAACCCTTTGGAGTGATAAATGATTCGTGGTAATGGTGAGTAAAACAATAGAGATTAATGCATGTTTAATTAGATTTATGTATTAACAAAGAAGGATTAAGACATAGCTGTTGAATATTGTTAAGGACTAGAAGCATTACACCTTATTTAATGCAGTGTTCAAATCTATATAACCAGTTGATGGCAAATTAGTAATCAATTGAGAGGCTATGTCAACATTGCCTAAAACTGCCTGAGTAGCTGATAGTTATCTATTATTTACCTAATGATTTTGACAGAATCAGAAAGGCCAGTGACTCTGGGTTGCTAGCTCTTTTGGCCGAAGGTTAACCTGTTGCAGAGTCACCCATGAGTTGGGTGTGTCATACATAGCGCATCACTGAGCTCTCCCATGTTGTCTTTCCCAAGCACCATACGTGAAGGTGTACCTGTTGGACAACGGAGTCTGCGTAGCCAAAAAGAAGACAAAAGTGGCACGAAAAACGCTGGAACCCCTGTACCAGCAGCTGTTATCTTTCGAAGAAAGTCCCCAAGGAAAGGTTTTACAGGTATTTATTTACTGAATTGTTTACTCCTTCACTAAGAAAGAATGTTCGTGGAGTCAAACCTTGTCCCTGACACCTTTACTTACCACATCCCTTTCTGTGCCTCACAGCCGCGATTCTTGGGAAACCTCAGAGCAGTGGCCAGTGCTGTAAGGCTACAGGCACTGATGTTTCCTTCAGGTGAAGTCCAGACTAGCAGGCCCCCGCCACACATACACTCCAGTCTTCCTGAACTCTGTGGCCTTCGCACTTGACAGTTTTCCCAATAGACCTTTGGATGTTGCCCCAGTAGTCAATGCAGCTATTTAACATTTGATGTCAGCACATTAGCTGAATGTTTTTCAGTTTACAAGTTTTTGCTTTATTTTGTTTTGTTTTTTAAATATTTTTTCTTTATTGATTTCAGTGAGAGAGGAATGGGGAGGGAGAGAGAGAAACATTGATGAGAGGGAACATCAACTGGCCGCCTCCTGCATGCCCTCCACTGGGGACTGGGCCCACAACCTGGGATGTGCCCTGACCGGGAATCAAACCGGCGACCTGTTGGTGCATGGATCAATGCTCAACTGCTGAGCCACACCGGCCGGGCTAGTTTGTAAGTTTTTATGTGCATGATTATACTGACATTACACTCCTTTTTATTTTGCCAACAGATCATTGTCTGGGGAGATTATGGCCGCATGGATCACAAGTCTTTTATGGGAGTGGCCCAGATACTTTTAGATGAACTGGAGCTATCCAATATGGTAATTGGGTGGTTCAAACTCTTCCCCACCTCCTCCCTGGTGGATCCAACCTTGGCCCCTCTGACGAGAAGAGCTTCCCAGTCTTCTCTGGAAAGTTCAACCGGACCTTCTTACTCTCGTTCATAGCAGCTGTACAACTGTTGTCATAGCAACCAGCGTTACAAAAAATAAAAATAAAAAATCACAGGTCGCAAACCCTGGTAACACTGCATGCTTAATGTTGTGTCTTCTGAGCCTGTTTCTAGGGCTACACAGCGAACCTGTGTTCTCAGAGGAAGTTGCACACATTGTGCCCTAAAGAAGGCCCTCAGGAGAAAGAGCAGAGCTACAAAGAGATTGGTTTGGAGTCCGTGACACACACCTCTCGACCCAGTCTGAAGCCATGGGTTAATCTTAAAGAATCAGTCAGTTTCCTGCAACAAAAGCCCTTTTCGATGGCACCTTTATATTTTTATCGTTCCTTTTCCTTCATTTCTCTGACCCCAAAGCCCTGCTATGCCACAGAAATGGAGTGAGACAGCCACTAAGCCATGTGACAAGTCAAGGGGTGAAGTCCTTGGAAGCATCAGGTGACAAGCAGGGGACCAAGCAGTGGTCCGAGGCGAAACGTCTGCCCTCCCTGGTGGCGGTGCCAGTCCAGCAGGAACCGCGGCCGTCACTCTAATGCCGAGATGTGCTGGACTCTGGAAAGCAAAATCTGTGGCTACACTACTGAATGAAACTAAAGACACCTTTTTGCATGGACACAGATTAGCTGAATACTTAAATTATTTTCTTGGGGCTGCAACTTGGAAAAAAAAAAAAAGAATAAAAATCAGCCATTTTCAACAATTTATATTATTTTTAAAAATAAATTTCACTAGTGCATGGTTTTAAAAAGGGGAGAATGCAACAGGCTGATACAAAGACACACAGTGTTTATTCTTTAAACTAATCATAGTCTGTGTTTTGGCAGACATTACAAACGAAAGTACTTTCTAGAAGATACTTAAAATTCTCTTTATGTGACAAGTATATCTTCAGTTTATTTCCATGTTAAACATACAAATCTAATGAAGTTCAATATGTGCACCTTGTCACATCTTTCTTCTTCTCACTTTCCCCTTCTCCCTCTTTTCAATTTCTGTTTTCTTTCTCCCTACCACAGTGAACATTATTCCAAAAAATTACAAGTTTTTGACCTAACACTCTCTTGTACCCCATGTTTGACTCATTTGTACATGCTTCTGAATTTATGAATTTCTCAAGGGAAAAAATAAAAGCTTTCTGTTTCAAGCATGTTGAAAGGGATTTTGCAACCTGACTTGGGAGTACATTAAAGTAAGTCAGCATGTGTTTGACAAAGGAGATATTTGAACTTTTGCAATCTATTGTACAGTGCATGGTAATTTTATTTTCACCTTCAAAGTTTAGTTTACGGGAAAATTCTAAAATCATATGGCCATTGTAATGTCTGATAGATTTGTTTTTCGCACCAGCATTATTCATACAGGGGTTAAAGTATTATTTCTAGAAGGTCTTAGGTTTTGTTTTTTAATTAATTAAAGCCATTTCTTTAGCTGTTTTCCATTTACTGTGTGAATAGACACACCGCTGAAACTCTGGAGCCCTGAAACAGGGCTGTGTATTAATTCATGTTTCTGTAGTAAAATTCAATTTTTCACAAATTATATTTCTAGAGAAATATAGTAAACATGAATTTGCAACAAATAATTTTAAAGCTCCAATTTTTAGGTGACTCAAAGAAAATCAGTCTGCCTACTAATAGTTCTTTGATGCCATCACCAAAAGTCTACACACAAATTTCAAGTCAAACCCCTGCCTTTGACTTTTACAGACCGTTGTTATTGCCATTGGGTGGTGCTATGAGGTCAGATTTCTCTGAAGTCCCCTGTGTAGAGGAAAAGTTACTGCATAATGTAGTAAACCACCCATACTCTCTATTTCTTTGAGTACACTCTGATAACACATTCTCATAGGTTGATTTTAATTTCTTGCAATAACTTTTGAAATCCACATTCATACCATTTCTTTAAACTAAGGCCATGCACAAAAATTGCTTTTTATCTTTTCTTTTTAAATTCAGTGCTGACTATTAAAAACTATCATGCTTGAAATGGTGCAAAAGTTAAAATGAGTATCACTAAAAATGCCTTCTCTTTATGTGGTGCAATATGAAATACACCAAGACTGTGTCTTGACATTCTGAGATCTGTGATGGACCCGGGGGTAAAGTTGTTCAGAGAATGAATAAAGCTTTATTGAAATAATTTAGACATGTGTGTACCAGCAACAATTGGTTCAATAGACCTCTAGTGTCTATACTCTCCCTTAGACTAAACGTTTACCATTTTCCTGATACTAAGGCACAGTCACATAATCTTTTGTGCATATTCCTATATAAATTATTTCTAATTTTAATAAGAAGGACATGACTGTATGGAATATTTGTACATACTCGTCATTATTGCAGTATTTATTTAAAAGTTGGTGTATTTTTTTTTAATTTTCACATGTCTGCACCTCGACTTGTGGTTTAGTCATGTAAATAGCACTATTCCAGTGACCATTGCTGCCCTGTACATAGTATGTTTTAAAACTAAAGGGAATTCCAGATGGGAAAAAAAACAAAGGGCAGATTAGTCCTGTAAAGAACACCAACTAATGTAAATCAAATTCATTCCGGTGATGGTATTTAACACTTTAAATAAAACATTTTCTTTACAGACGTTGTGTGCATGGCTTTCTCTGGTCCTCTTCTCCCCGCACATCCCCAAGCTTCTGCCGCCCGTTCCCTGAACTCCCGTCACTGAGACCGAAACGACCTTCTCTACCTCCGAATCCGAAGCACCTGCTGGTGTTAACAAATAGCCCACCTTAGAGCACTTCTTTCAAGTGCCGAAGGATTTCTGCTCACATCGTTAAAAGTTGCTAATTTTTTTTTAAAAAGGTTGTTTTTCCGGCCCTGGCCGGTTTGGCTCAGCGGTTAGAGCGTCAGCCTGCGGTCCACAGAGACCTGGGTTCAGTTCCCGCTAAGGGCATGTACCTCGGCTGCAATTTGTCCCCGGCCCTGGTTGGGTCGTGTGGGTGGCAGCCACTCGATGTGTCCCTTTCACATCGATGTTTCTCTCTCTTCCTCTCTCTCCTTCCCACTCTCTCTGAGTAAAAAATGGAAAAATGTCCTTGGGTGAGGATGGAAAAAAAAAAAAAAAAGGTTGTTTTTCCGGATTGGGGCGCTTTCCAATGAAACGTGTCAGCAGCTGGCAGATTTTAAGAGTGAAATGGGCGAGTTTTCTGAGTCAGTGCAGCCTCCACTGATCACAGTCCTGAGAAGCGTGCGTGGGCTCTGCCTTCCGGTGACGACGGCAAGGGTGGCCCTTGGCTTTACGTTGTTTCCCCTGACGGGTCAGCTCCGTGTCGGAGGGGTGGGGGACAGGTGTGGTAACCTGCCACATGACAACCTGTCCTGAGAGTGGCTTCTCTCGTGTGCGTATGGATTGATGAGAGAATCTCCATATTCTTCTAGGCCGTGTCCTCGACCCAGAGTAGGAACCCCAGCAGAGTTCTGACGGGAGCCCTTCCTGATTCCAAGAGCTAGTTTGATTCGTTAGAAATCAACTGAAACCTAAACTTAGTTCTCTGTTTATTCTTAGAACTAGCCATTTCTTTCATTTCAAGGACTCAATTCCAGCCCGGTCCACCATACCTATCTCATACTAGTTCCATTGTTCAACATACACCCCCTTCTCCAGCGAGCTGTTTCTCTGCTGTTCATTCCCTCCTACTATAAAAATCCCCTTCCTTACATGCTGTCTCCTGAAAAGGCCTTCTGTTTTCTCAAAAATAATCCATGTTAGTTCCATCCTACAACTTCCTGCTCAGGACTGAACTCTTAGCAGTTCCTGACGAGACCCTAACATATGATTGCCGTGGATGCCAACATCTCCCTTTCTCCAGCAGTCCCCGGTGCCAGGGCTTACAGCAGCAGTACAGGTGCTGAGAGAGAACGAGTCAGAAATCACCGAAGCTTCCCCCTGGTTGGTGTGGCTCAGTGGTTACAGCTCCAGTCCACATACTGAAGGGTCACGGGTTCAATCCCCAGTCAAGGACATGGACCTTGGTTACAGGTTTGATCCCCTGCCTGGCCGGGGTACATGTGGGAGGCAACCAATGATGGGTCTCTCTCACATGGATGTTCTCTCCCTCTCATCTCTCTGTGTCCCTCTCCATCCTTCCCACTTGCTCTAAAAAAATCAATGGAAAAAAAATATCTCGGGAGGAATAACAACCAAAAAACCGCAAAGCTGTCTGCCTGTGCCGACTTAACCATTACCACTCTGTGCACATACAAATCATGTCCTTCACATGTTTGTCTCCACTCACTCATGCCCTCAACATCCTGTGGGCACTCAGGACTGAATGAACAGAAGTTCATGCACACACGTTGCTTTGTGAAGTGTGTATTGAGAAGCAACAATGTGTAAAAGGAAATAAAAAAACAACTCCACGTGCCACTCAAGTTCTCCATATGGCTCGACTCAAGTCAGTCTCTCCAGCATTTCTTTCCTTTTTTTTCTTTATCCTCACCCGAGGACATTTTTCCATCTTTTGCACAGACAGAGTGGGAGGGAGAGAGAGGAAGGGAGAGAGAGAGAAACATCGACGTGAAGGGACACATCGAGTGGCTGCCACCCGCACGACCAACCAGGGCCGGGGACAAACTGCAACCGAGGTACGTGCCCTTAGCGGGAACTGGACCGGAGGCTGATGCTCTGACTGCTGAGCCAAACTGGCCAGGGCCAGCATTTATTTCTTAATCTGGGAAATGAGCTTAAGTGAGATACTCTTCTATAGTTAAGTCAATACACTGACTAACACGTAAACTCTTTCAAAGAAGGGACCATATATATTTCCCCCCCTTTTTTGTATGTTCAGTGCCAAGAACAATGCTTGACATATAGATGCTCAATAAATATCTGCCAAATTAATGAGTATCTGTCCTTACTGTTTTTGTGATACTCTTCTAGGCATTGAAGAGAACAGAAAATGCATAGCCCTGCCCTTACGGGGTTTTGATTTTACTGAAGACACACATTGGGTAAAAAAAATTACAGTACAATAACTTTCCAAAAGGAAAGCCCAGGATGCCATGGGAGCACACAACAAAGTGTTTTAGCCAAATCAAGAAGGTCAAGGGAGGTGATGTCTTAAAAAATAGACAGGAGTTAAGTAGAAGGAGGTGATCACATGGGAGATGGGGATGAAGTAAAGGATAGTCCAGCCAGAAAGAAACAGCAGGTAAGAAGTTTGAAGGAAGGAAACTGTGACTACCACCCTTACTACCATACAGTGCCCAAAGCAATGATGAGTCCACCAGAAGTGCGAATGAATGAACATGTGGGTACACATTCCTGCAGCCTGGGCTATTTCTAAATCATTGAGAGGTTTTTGTTTTTTTTTTTTTTTTTTTTGAGATGCTAATTTTAATCTAAACTTGATGTGAGATCTATTTGTAAATGAGATCCTTGGTAAGGGCTAATCTATGTAACTAAGTGGCTCTCAGAATGCTGCTCAGTCCTTCGTTCCATTCATCGGTTGGGTTTTTGAGCATCGGAAGCATGGCCTGAAGCATCTGCTCAGCGCTGAGCACATTAGAGACGCCACTCAGCCCTAGCAGTGAATACCTCAGACAGATTACTGTTACCCACATGGAGACTCCCGAATCCTTAAGTTTATGTGCGTAGTTTGTATATGTTTGAGTCACAAAGACTAAACCTGTGGTGTTCTTAGTGCTTTCTGAGTACCAGC